GCTTAATCATGGAATGATAGATTGTTGGAGCTAGAAAAGACTTTAGAGATCATCTGGTTTGGGAGGCAGCATGGTATAAATAGAAAGATTACTGAACTTGGTTGGAGTTGGGAAATCTGAGTCTCAGTATTGGCTTTGACACTTAATAGTGCTGTGAGTGAATAATTCAATTAACCTCTCCAAGCCCCATTTTCCCATTCAAGAATTAGGGTCATATTACTTATGTTATAAGGTTATTGTCAGGAAAGCACTTTTGTAAAACCCAAAGTACTATATCAGTATTAATCTTATAGATGTGAATCATATAGTCCAATTCTTTCAGCATCCAGTTGAGAAATTTGAGTCCAGAAAAGAAGGCACTGTGGTATAATAGTAAAAAGATCAATAGACTTGGAGGCCCAGAGACTCAGAGACAAGGCTCAGATTAAATAACTCTTACACAAGACCTCTACTAATGTCCTTAGTTTCTGATATTCTCAAAGTAATGACTGTATTTATTTTGCATGTATTTTAAAATTTACTTCTCTGTTTATATGTTTCTTCCTAGAATAATTAAACCAATTGAAGTTAGAGTAATTATATCTTATCCTTTGCATGTAGCACAGAGTCAGGCATTTAGTAATTTCTTGAAAGAAGTGCATACATGTGGAAGCTCCATCAGACATGAAGGAAGGGAGCCTGGTATCCAGCTGTGACCATTTTTGTACCCTCTTAAGTCACTTTGGTAGAGACCAAAGCCAGTGAAAAATGAATCCCTTTGTGTGGAGGAGGATGAGACAGCTTTGAGGTCTAGCCCCTAGGGAGACTGCCATCTAAAGAGAAGGAGCAGAAAAGTGAGGGATAGCAGAATATGAAGAAAAATGACTGAAATTACCAGAGATGTCAGGAGGAAGAATATTTGGTTAAAGATTTTGAGCAGAAGCAGATAAACCTGATATTGATATTGGAAGATATTGATGCTTCAAACTCCAAGACATATAGTGGTTAAATTGAACAATTCTAACAACAACAAATTTTGCTAGCAACCAAAAGAGACTTTTCAAATATAAAGAAAAGGAAATTCTAATATCACAAAACTATATTATATTTGCCAGAAACCGTAGGGAGGAATGAAATCATGTGTTCTCAAGAGCAAAGGAGCTCATCATGCAACCCAAGGTGACCTATCCTGCAAGCCTGAGTCTAAACATAATGAAAAGGTAATTGATCAGTTAAAAAATAAAAAGCTAGAGATATTTGAAGCATTCCTACAAAGAATACTAGACCTGAAGTAAGTTTTTTGCTTCTCTTACACCCCAAACAAAAGAAGTACAACAAAGGTGAACAGGTAAAACAACCAATGAAGCCACAGATAATTCACAGGTAACAGAATAATTTATTTATCCCAGAAAAAAAAAGGGAAAATAAAACTAGAAAGAGAAAGACACCTTTAGGGTTGACAGCAACAACAATGACAAAATAAGATTATTTCTTAAGAGATTTCTTTTTAAAAGTAGAAAACCAGAAATAAAAAATTGTGGTGGAGGAACAAGCCAGAAACATCATGAACTAAACATCACAATACCCTTACAATGGGTGAATCAATTTTTTTGTGAAAATGTTGCCTGACACCACCATCCTTGTTTTCATGTTGGCAGTTATAACCTACCAATTAAGACTCTAAAAAGTCATTTTCAATTCCTACACCTTCCTCTAATAAGGTAAATCTTTGTCGGGGGTGGGGGATGGCACTAAGTTAGAGTTGGAGATATCTAGAAATTGCTAGTAAAGGATATTACATGTCAGTTGAGCCTTGAATGAACCTAGGCTGTGGCAGAGGTGAAGAAGGGAGTTTATTGCAGGCCTGGGGCACCACCTTTGCAATTAGGGTAGAACCTGCGGCCTCAAGGCCACATGTGACCCTCTGGGTCCTCACGTGCTGCCCTTTGACTGAATCCAAACTGACTGAATCCAGACTTCACAGAACAAATCCCCTTAATGAAAGGATTTGTTCTGTAAAACTTGGACTCAGTCAAAAAGCCACACCTAAGGACCTAGAAGGCCACATATGGCCTTGATACCTCAGGTTTCCCAACTGTGGGTAGACCTGAATGCATGAAGGGGGAATAATACAGCATGTCCCAAAAGTTTCAGTGCAGTTTTAAAATGTTAATGTTTAATATTTATTTAATAGCTCTTAAAGCTTAAGAAATTTTGAATCAAATATCATTTAATTATCAAGAGCAATATCAAGTGATTATTATTCATATTTAAATAACCATTATTTATTTAATGACTATTAAGTCTTAAAAACTGCTCTGAGACTTTTCTACATCCCATATTAATACTCTTGGAAAGGTTGTAGCCTTTAATACTCTGGAAAAGTAGCCAGGTTTTGAAGAGCCTTAAGTACCTAACAAAGGCAGTAGTATTTCCTCTGAGGGGTTACAGAGACCTGTTTTTATCTTTGTTTTGCTAATAATTTGGGTGACCTCAGATAAATCACAGAATTTCTTTGGATCTCAGTTCCCTCATCTGTGAAATTAGAGGTTTAGATTAGGTGATTTCTACAGTTCCTTCAGATATACTGATATACATGAAAGCAGAACAAATATTTATTAAGTGTGTATTATATGCCAGGTACTGTGATAAGAGCTTTACAAATATTATCTCATTTGATTCTCACAACAAGTTTGGGAGGTAAGTGCTTTATTATCTCAATTTTACATTTGAAAAAAACTGAAGCAGACAGAGGTTAAGTGACTTGTCCAGGGTCACACATTTAGTAAGTAACTGAGGTCACATTTAAACTCAGGTCTTCTTGAGGTCAGGCCCAGCACTTTATCCACTATATCACTTAGCTAGCTCCCTCTGCAAAAAATATTGAGGCTGAAATTTCATTCATTTTGAGCCCCCCCCCCCCAGTAATATCACAGAATTAGAGTTAGAAGGGACTCCACAGACCATTTAGTTCAACCTTACCTGAATAACACTCCTCTGTACAATGAACTTAATAAGTCGTTGTCCAGTGTTTGATGACCTCCACTCAGGGGAGTCCCACTGCCTGCTGAAGCATTCCATTGTACATTTAGGCAGTTCTGATAGGAGGTTTTCTGTTACTTATACCCATTGCTTCTTTTTCTGTCCTCTGGGGCCAAGTACTATATATGTAATTTCCTTTCCTCATGACATTCTTTCAGTTATTTGAGTAGCCATCATGCATGCTACCCAAGTTGCCTTTTCTCCTGTTTATATATTCCTAGTTCTTTCACTTAATATTTATATGAGATGATCTCTGAGACCTTCAGCAGACTGCTTGATTCTGCTGGATATTCTCCAGTTTATCAATGTCTTTCCCAAAATGTGGAATCTGAAACTGAATACAGCATGCCAGATGTGGTCTACCTAGGAAAGAGTGTTATGAGGTCTACAGTCTTGAATACTGTGGTTTTCAGTACAGCCTAAGATTAGATTAATGATTGCTTCATCATTGTCTTCATAATGCATGTTTAGAGCATTAAAACTGAAGATTCCTTTAAGATGGTCTTCTGTCTAACTCTGTATCCATGATCTGATACTTTGCATACATATTTCTTGAGCCCCATGTTCATGACTTAAAAGTTAAGAGGCATAAGTATAGTCTTGCTAGTACCACCATTTTAGTGTATCCAAAGCCTTTTGGATCTTGACTATCATAAAATGTGACAGCTATATCTCTCAGCTTTGTGCCATCTATAAATTTAATAAAAATGCCATCTATGCATTAATTCAGGTTATTGATATCATAGCGGACAGAGCAAAGAATGGTTGGAAACACCACTAATGACCTTCTTCCAAGTTTACATGGAATAATTAATGACTATTTTTGGTCTAGCCATTTAAACCAGTTCCAAATCTACAGAATTGTACTGTAATCTAGCCAGCATATTTCCATCTTCTCCATAAGAGTAGAATAAAAGATATATGTTGAGCCATTTAGAATTTTAACTTTTAATCAATTGATGTGCTTAGAACCAGGGATATTATTCTAACCCAGAGTTTCTGATTCTTATGTTATATTAAAGATGTGATGTGTGTATGTATTATGATATTTCTGAGTAAGTTGTTGACGATGATGATTCTTTTTTACATCATCTTCATTTCTGAATATATGTCCCATCCACAGAGAGCTGTTAAGGATAAACAAATCTTTAAAAAAAAAAGTTAAAATAGTTCAGCAAAACTAAATAACACTACAACTGAGTCTCACGGTATTTGCAGTATTCCACCTGCATAATCCTTGTCTCTACAAAGAAGGGAGAAGGTTGATTTTCTCATCTCTTCTCTAGGGCAAAACAACTTCTTCTTCTTCTTCTTCTTCTTCTCCTTCTCCTTCTCCTTCTCCTTCTCCTTCTCCTTCTCCTTCTCCTTCTCCTTCTCCTTCTCCTTCTCCTTCTCCTTCT